ATTATTTGAAATCCCTTACAGTGAGTATAACCGATCGTGCTGAAAAGATGGATACTGAATGTCAATTGCAAGCTATTTTGGATCGAACACTTCGTTTATATACTCTCAAATTTCAATATTGGCCGGAGACTTTTACAGATATACCATCATTGAATTATTCAAGTAATTCAGTTCGTCGACTTGATTTACAAGATATTGATCGACCTTTCAATCATCGTCAGTGTGTTATATTGAGTCGTTCATCATGAGACAAACAATGTGAAGTACTGTCAATTACGATAAAATATCGAAGAAGTATCCCTGCTAACTTTACGAAAGTTAGGCCATAGGTCCAATAGCAAAGTTTCGATATTTGGGCTATATTTTTCTGATAGTTTAAGATATCGAATATTGGTTTTCACCAATGGATAGAGCTGATCAAGTTGTACTCTGGAACTTCTTGGAACAGTTCCTGGGTGAATCTCCGCTAATTTTAATCGAACATTTAGCTAACTTCACCTACGTGACTTACCAATACTTTTTTTTCGAAAATAGTTTTTGTTTTTTCGAGAAAGACGATAACAATAAAAGTCCACATCACTTGTTGCTTTTTATTGGTACCTTCATACATGATCAGCAATATTTCATAATTAATGTAGACAAAAGTAAGAGACAATCATCAGACAACTGACTCAAATGATGTTAATTAGTAGACATTATATATTGACCATTGATTAGCGGATATTCGCTGACATCAAAAGAATTTTTTAACTAGTCAGACGAAAAAATATTGTTGAAAAAAAAGAAATAAGTAAATATTTTATAAATTGACGATGTGTTTTTTTCTATGCATAAGACTTTTTGTTTGCTAACTTAACATAGAAAATGTATCATATCTGCCATATCCATGCAAAGATTATTAATCTATTCAGTAATAAAATAGTCGACCAATCTGCTGAAGTTTCGGAATGCAAACGATAATTTAGAATTATTTCTAAATTGAAAACTGCAGCTAAAAGTTTGCGCCTAATATCAAATCAATTTTGCCTGTGACATATATAAGTATTTTTCAAACATAATCAATGTGTGAAAATATGGTTAATTTTGTGTGGGTAACATTGGGTAGGAATGTAGAGTGTGGATGTGCAGCTGTACTGATTGGGCCTCATACGCCCACACTCAAAGCATCCTCAATAATTAGCTCGAAGGGTCACACAACTTGTGAACGATTGAACAGAGAGAAAATTTTTTCCTTTTCTTAGGCCAGAAACATTTCTCTTTGTTTAGTACTACAATATTTTACCAATTGAAACAAATCAATTGCGTTGAGAGTGGTTTTGTTTTCAGTACATCTGTTAATAAAAATGATTGTTCACGATAATAATAAGATATGGCAATAATGGAGTGCTTTTGCTAATTGAATATTAAGTTCGGGCAAACAATTGGATAGTCCTCAAGTCAAATTGTTATTCATTCATATCTCAATCGAAAATTTCGATGGATTCGAATGAAACTTCATAGAAATTGATAGAAACAAACTCATACTACTAACTTTGAGATGAGAATATTCCACGCATACTAGTCTATGTCGTCAAGATATTTCGAGATCGAATAATTATTTTTATTGCTAAAACTTCTACAAATAAAGAATATCATTGATTTTTTTCCTTTTATAAATCATCTAATTTGAATCTATTTCAATTGCTAAAAAAATTCATCGTGTGCATTCAGAGAACTACCAAGTTAAAGTTATAAGAAAGACTGTTGATTTTCTTTCATCAATGAAATTTAATAGTGATTCCGACATGTTTAGGTAATAAAGTCAATTTCTGAATAAATCCACCTGCATTTACTTCAGAACCACCATCACCGATTGTTATTTGTTGTAACATACGAGCTAGAATTACTTTTAGTTCGAAGAGAGCTAAATCTCGTCCAAGACATTGACGATGACCACCTCCAAATGGCAGAAATGCATATGGATGATGATTTTTATCTTCATTAAGAAATCGTTCTGGATAGAATAATTGAGGATCAATTTTCCAATAACGCTTGTCTCGAGCAAGAGAGGATGTTGGAATCAATACTTGATCACCTTTGTAAAGTCGAGTACCACTTTTAGGAAGACAGTCGTCGACAGTGACTGAACGACATGTTGAATCAATTGTTGGCGAATAACGAAGTACTTCATTAATAAAACAATCCAAATAAATAAGTGAATCAAGATATTCCAATGATATATGTTGACCATGATTATTTTCCATTAATTCTGTCTTGATTTTTTGTTGAACTCTTGGCTGTTTACTTAGATGATAAATAGACCAAGCAAGAGCAGTAGAAGTCGTTTCATAACCAGCAATTAACAACATGAGTACTTCATCAAAAACTTCTTTTCGTGAAAGACCTATCAATAAAGTAATATCAGAAATAAACTTCAATACGTAGGAAAGGCAAATATTGCTGCAAATAAGGCAAATCTAACAAAATTTACATCAGACAATGTATATCTAGACATTATTAGGAAACATTTAAGTTCATTCATGGAGAATATTGCAATATTTTCATATTATTGTTGAAAAACCTTTAATAGATTGAAATCTCGAGAAAATTTATAAGATTATTTGATGAATAATCTCGATTTTCGTAACTCAGAGATATCAAATGTTTATCTGTGTGTGAATGCGCAATTGTGTACAGTTTGACAAGATCTAATCATATGTAAACAGAAAAAAGAACGACCGATAGTATGTATATGGGAGTAGTGACTTCTACAATTCATTTCTACAAGTTACATCCTCCACATCCGATGTAGCTGCACCATCTAAGAAGTGTAATCTTCTCAAAAAAGGAAAATGCACGACAAATTATTGTGGAAACAATGAATTAAAGTCAGGAGTTTAACAAATCAATTTTACCTCTTTTATCTTCTTCCTTTTTTTTTGCTTCGGCTTTTTCATCGGTTTGTAATGAATTAACAAGTGATGCGATTAATGAAGTTTTCTTTCGTTGTGCTCTCGAATCTGAACTTTCAGCTAACTCTTGTTCAACCATTTTATTAAAATGTTGTTCGACTGTTGCTCTTGCTCGTTGAAATCGAGTATTCAATTTCATATAGACGATTGATATAAAACCAGGTGCATATAGAGCCATTTCATATGTACTCATAATATCGAGTAGGGCTACGGTCAATTCATTGTTATTGCTGGAAGATTGACTATCAAGTGCCTCTAAATCATAATCAAAAGCAATTAATCCAAATATCTCAAGAAGAAGATTTTGACATTGTTCAACAATATCTGCATGCACTTGATCATGTGGTCTAGCACGCCATCTATCTAATAGTTTGTCAGTACTATCAATAATTGTGTTAATATTGGAAATGATTTTACTACGACGAAATAGTGGCATAGTAAGAGCACCATGTCGTTTGAATTTGAAATCTAGGCAATCAAAAATGAATAAATATTTGTCATTACTAGACCAATAAGCAATACCTATGCTACAAATGATACTCTCAGGAACTAACAGGCTAAATTTTTCTAAAAATACTTGTCCTTGATCATAAATATTTCGATGCGTAAGAATGTACTGAACATCGTCAATATCATGTATAACAATGAAATGCATAAAACCGAGCCAATATTGATAAATATCACCGAATCGTTCCTTGAGAAATATATAAATATCACATTTTGATCTTTTACCTAACAATAAACCCGTTTGAATAAGATTTCCAAAAATAAGATGTGGAGACAAGCCAGGTATTGGACCACGAAGTGTAAAATATTTCAATTTAATATAAACGATCCAGATAATGACGAAAGAAAGCAACAGAAGGGTTATCATTATAACAACGCGTCAAATAAAAAAGTGGTAATCGTGAGTACATAATGATAAATATTAATGCTTATCTGCATGCATGCCCTTTCTTTCTTTCTTTCGTTTTCTGCTGTTTCACTGTCCTCATGTGACACATACAGCTATAATACCATACAAAATGATCTAGAATCATATATTATATCTATGCATTAGTATGGATAGGTTTTTTTCTTAAATCATAGGTGATATGGTCGAATAACGTCTGTCGTTTGTTCATTTCAATCAGTTGCATTTAAATCATAGGAGTATTATTCTCATAAGGCTAGTCTGTTTCAAAAACAAACAAGAACATTTCATTTACAAAAATAACTATACTGTAGAAAGACTTCTTGTAAAATATGTGACTGGTGTATATTGTGATCAAGCGATAAATTATTGAAATCAACACACACACATATATATATATATATCATTGTAAATATAGTAAAAGCGTATTAAACTATTAAAACTTATTCTTCTTTTCTTGGTAGAATATCCATCGTTTAGTTACGTGAGTATAGAAGAAGAAACCTCACTTAAATCCACACTCACATCACCGCAGTGTAATGTGTGTTCTCGTTGGTGTGAAAGATATTGTTTTGTTGATATTTACGCGTTCATGTCAAAATTTTTCGAAATCATTTCTGTTTCTTTCAAGAGACATGAACACCGATTTATACAGATATTTTTCAATGGGGAGTACGTCAATCGACTGAAACAGAAATTTATATGATTAGTGCTGAGAGAATTAATGAATATTCTCACATTCCTCCAGAGCCAGATCTCTATAGAGAAGAGTTAGAACCACCAACTAATTGGTCAGCTGAAGAAAAAATTGAATTTGAAACATTTAAACTAAGTTACCGTCCAGAACTTGAACCTGTATTAAAAGGAATAAATTTAAAAACTGAGACACAACATAAAATTGGTATTATTGGACGTACAGGTGCTGGAACATCATCGATTTTTCAAGCATTATTTCGATTAACCGATAAATCAACAATAGATGGTACAATATTAATTGATGGAGTTGATATTAGTAAAATTAGTTTGAATGCTTTGCGATCAAATATAAATATTATCCCACAATTTCCTGTATTATTTAGTAATACACTGCGTTATAATTTAGATCCATTCGATCATCATACGAATGAACAATTATGGGATGCATTAGAAGCTGTTCAATGGAAGACAAAAATTAATACATTAAAAGACAAATTAAATACAAAAATAGCAGAATATGGAAGTAATTTTAGTGTTGGTGAATATCAATTAGTATGTGCAGCAAGAGCAATTTTCAAACAAAGTAAAATTTTACTAATCGATGAAGCAACAGCACATGTTGATACAAAAACTGATGAATTAATTCAAAAAATTTTACGAGAAAAATTTAAAAATCAAACAATTTTAATAATTGCACGTCGTCTCAATACAACAATGGATAGTGATAAAATTGTTATTATGAAAGATGGTATTATTGCAGAATATAGAACACCAAGAGAATTACTTACAAGCCAAGATCAACTACTCGCTGATATAAACGGTGATAATGACAATGAATTAGTTACATATCTATAATAAAAATATACATCAGAGCAATTCCTAATGAGTCAAAAATATATTATTCTGTCTTGATTGGATTAAGGGTATATAACGATAAAAAGTGGTTTTTTAATGATTTCTCGTAATGAGGAATTGAAGAATGTTCTAGGCCCTTTTCAATTAAGATAGAAAATATGTGATTTCTAAGAATATGAAATAATTGTTCGAATGATTTTATGCTCTCTTAGTGATGATAGAATAAAATGAGAAGCCACGATTGAGGGTGTGGCTGGGTGTGGATATGGAGTGTGCGTGCGTATGGATAGGAACAATACTCACACCCACACCCATACCTCGCATCCACATCCATACTTCGCATCCACACCCACACCCACACCCACCCACACCCCACACCCACATCCACCCACACCCCACACCCACCCACACCCACACCCACACCCGTCAAAGAGCTGGAAATTCTTTCCTTTTTTATTTTTCTGGTCTAACCACAAAAATTTGATGATTGTGATCCTTAGCATTTCTCAGGAATACTTCGAAACAACTTGATATATTATATTTATAAGTTTCTCGATACAGTCTTTCATGTGCACTAACAGATAGAAAAAATATATTTACTGACTACTGGTATGATTCATGGTCCGACGAATCCTCCCTTAAATATCTTATGTTGCCTGCCGGGAATGTCCTAGACATTCACAGGGACTCACCTTTGTAATACAGAGGTGGGAGGCGCCCCTGGGCTACTGGTAGCCGATCGTCTCAACAACAGGCCAGCCACCTGTTAAAGGGACATTAAACATATCTGGCTAACGAAAAAGATCAAAGTCAGTGCGTTAATGCACTTAAAACAACATTCTTTGGTAGTTGGAATGTGCGATCGTGTTATCGTCAAGCAAAGAAAGAACTTATTATAAAACAACTTCAAAAATATCGAATACAAGTAGCTGCACTTAGTGAAACGGCAATGTATGACTCTGGCGTTCAAAATATTGGTGAGTATACTATGATTTATTCAGGTCAATCAAGCATCAACAAAACACGAAATGCTCACGGAGTGGCTGTATGTTTAAATAAACAAGCAACAATGGCATGGCACAACAGTGGAAGTGTATGGGAAGCTGTCAGTGAACGAATTTTAATGGTTCGACTTGCTACGTCTCCAGTCAATGTTACAATAATTGCTATATACTCGCCGGTGAATCCAAATGGTCAACAACATGGAGCGGAAGCAGTGGAAATATTTTACGAAGATCTTCAGCGAATCGCCGATAAAGTTTCACCACACGATCTACTTTTACTAATGGGCGACTTCAACGCACGAGTAGGAAAACAACAACACCAGACAAGTGGCAACATCGTTGGTCCTCATGCAGTAGATCGTATCACTGAAAATGGCGAACGATTAATAGATTTCTGTACGGTGAACAATCTCGTCATATCAAACACATTCTTTGAACACAAATCGATACACAAAATGACATGGATGCACCCTCGAAACAAGAAATGGCATATGATTGATTATATTATAGTTAACAAGAAATTCAGATCAAGTATTGAAGATGTCCGAGTTCAGCGAGCAGCAGCTGCTGCTGTAGGAACAGATCATCACCTTATTCGAGCAAAACTCCGGTTCCATCTTAAAAGTCGAAAGAAACTTAATCAACGTCGACCATCACGATTAGACAGAAAGAAAATGCAAGATATCCACCGGGTCGAACATTTCCAGCAAGAACTCGAAAGAAGACCAACAACAACCAGTAGCAACACAATGTCTATCAATGACAAATATTCCGAGTTTGTTGAGTATGTCAAAAAGGTAAGTGTAGATATATTTCAGCAACATGGTAATGGTATACAACGTAAAGAATGGCTTACGGATGAAATTATCGAGGCTGTAGAAAAGAAAGCAAACGCATTTATTCAATGGCAAAATCATCGAGGCTCCAGGGCAGAACAAAGATATCTTCAAAAGTACCGATTACTGAGAACACTTGTCAAAAAGAAGATTCAAGATCGACAAGTGCAATATTGGGATGAACGAAGTCAAGACATTGAAACGGCTATGAAGAAGAATGATCCAGCGACAGCGTATAGATTAATACGACAACTTAAAGGTAGGTGTGCAAATATTGAACATCATCCAGTACAAGACACCAATGGACAGCTATTAATATCTTCAACAGCAAGACTTACCCGATGGAAGGAATACTTTCAAGACCTACTCAACGTACCAACAAAGGTCAATCCTCTCATTATACAACAAATTACACCAGCCATTATACCAAGTCACGAAGAACTTCGACAAAGCATGACACCATCACTTATTGAAGTGGAACAAGCTATCAATAAAATGAAAAGTGGAAGAGCACCAGGAATTGATGAAATTTCCGCTGACATCCTTAAGGTAGGTGGACCTCCAATGGTCAAATGGTTGCACGAATTTTTTGTAGACATATGGAATAATGAAGAAATGATCGACGACTGGACAACAGCTATCTTGATTCGTCTACACAAGAACAAAGGCAGCAAGGCAATATGCGATAATTATCGAGGCATCTCCCTTCTGACGGCCACAAGTAAAGTCTTCTCGAGAATCATCTTGAATCGAGTGAGCAGCGTGCTTGACAAACGACTTCTCGAAGAGCAAGCTGGTTTTAGACCGAAACGATCGACAATTGATCAAATCTTTACGCTGCAAATGGTTATGGAAAAAACACATGAACTGAACAAACCTATGCACATGTGCTTCATAGATATCCGAAAGGCATATGACTCGATTCATCGACCACTTCTATGGCAAATTTGCAGTCACTATGGAATATCAAACAAGATCATCCGTATGTTTCAATTAATGTATACCAACACAAAAGGTCAAGTCAGAATCAACGGTGAATTCTCTCCTAGCTTCCAAATTGAAACTGGAGTGTTACAAGGTGGCATTTACTCACCAATATTATTTAATGTATTCTTCGATTTTGTTATCCGACGTGTTATTGAAAAAGCTGGTATTCTTGGTATAAAAGGCATCGAACTGGCATATGGTAGCAATGATTTCTTCCATCCTGATAGTGAAGGTTATGTAACATTCAATATATTGGTATTAATGTACGCTGACGATCTGGTAGTCATGTGTTCCAATAAAGCCGATCTTAAAAAATTCATGTATTTATTTGAAGAAGTAACACAAGAATGCGGACTTATAATGAATATCAGCAAAACTTGTATTATGTCGCTCCAGCAGTACGAACAAGATGGTACAAGAAGAGTTATAAAAAATATCGAAGTTGACAACACAAATATAGACATTAATATCCGCAATGAAAAAATAAATGTTGTGACTGAATTCTCCTATCTCGGTTGCCATGTTACACAAGATCAAACAATACAGAAAGAAATTGAAACGAGAATATTGAAAGCATCAAAAGCCTTCAATGCGCTTCGTAACATAATTTGGTACAGGAAAACAATATCAATTCCAGCAAAACTGCGAATTTTTCGCGCCTGTGTAATTCCAGTTCTTTTATATGGAAGTGAAACATGGTCAACAACGATTGTACAAGAACGAAGACTTAATGTTTTCTACTTGAAATGTTTGAGAACCATCATAGGCATCAACTTGGGTGATCGAATGTCAAACGACAAAATTCTACAACTCACCGGACAACCAGAAATCAGTGAATTGATTAGACGTAATCGACTCCGATGGTTCGGGCACGTAAATAGAATGGAAAATGCTGATAGCAAAACGTCAATCGTCAAAAAATGCATGTACTCTTATTACCCAAAATCTAAACGTCCTCGTGGTATTGGCAATAGAAAAACATGGTCAGATAAAATTATGGACGACATCACGAAATGTGGAATTCGAAACTGGAGGAAAGAAACAATGAACCGCGACAAATGGAGAAAAACAATAAACAAAAATGCATATATTAATCCACCTGCATCTAATATAATCAATGTTATTCAAGATTATAAACAACGTGCAGCCGAACGACGTGCAGAAGCGAATATGAAACAGCCACGTTGGCGAAAAGTAAGCGAAGTCTTAACTCGTACAAATAACAACGATTACATTTGCCCAAAGTTTAAGAAGCATTTCAAACCGCAAGGCATAACAAACCATGTGCGATCGTGTGCAACGTCCTGGTGTAAACAAAACAAGATTCGGACATAAAGCATTTACTTGGTGATAAAGCTGAATACTAGCTATCATGCGCGCCATGATGAAAACTATCGAAACCAAGTCCGCAAGAGTTGGAGATAGTTTTCGGAGAAACAGCTATGATCTCGAGTATTCGTCGACAATCAAGCATAACAAATACCGAAGAACATCAAGAGACTCATAGACTTTACTTTACTTTACTTTCTTTCTCTTTTCCTTTTTTTTTTTCGCCTTTTTTGTTCCATTATATTTTATTACGCTTTCGTTGTATATACTATACATTGTACTTTGATCTTCACCCCACACTGAAAGGTAAGGGTATATTAAATAAAAAAAATAAAAATAAATATCTTATGTATTTCTTACAGGCAGCAAAATTAAAGTACTCATAACTATTGAAGAAAGCTCTAGGAACCCAAATCCTTTTAGGGTTTTTACTAGGACACGATGTAGTATCTATAGACCAAAATTCATTAAAATCGGAGAGTAACACCTGAGGAGGTTCCCTCATTAGCAGCTCGAAAAGCATAGTATGTATGTTCTTCTTTTCAGAAAAAACAAGTAAGGGTGGGGTAGGTGTGGGTGTGTATGAGTCTTCTGCATGCCAACACTCACACCCACAGCCACACCCTTCATCACAGATGATATGCGATATTTGAATAACTTCGTTTGTCATAGTCTGAGCGACTTTTTATGCCATCAGACACCACGAATGATAAGTTGTAGAGAGTTAAAAAGAAAAGAGATCATTGTTGAGATAGCATTGGTTCCAGTTTCATGTATGCTTTTTTTCAAGCATAGCCCTTCCTATTGAGTAAGCTAATTTCAATATAGATTGCGAGGTCGATTATGAATCATCGCTTGTCTACGTATTCGATCTCTTCCTATGTATAAAAAATAGTCCAGTTTGTTCACTTGGGAGTAACTCAGGGACAAGATGATGAAATGTTCCAGAATACTATTCATGCTTTGAAAAAGAGCTACTATTCATATGTGTAGCATCTTCGATGGGCAACCAACAACGGACTTTTTAAATTCTAGACAAACAAATAGATAGACAAGGATACTAATAAAATAGAAAAATACTTTTTAAAAGGTTATTTTTCAATTTAGTCATTCCTTACCATGTAGAAGCATCACATTCAACAAACATAAATGATGCGGATCAAATTTCTTGTAATCTGGCACACATGTGCGATCACTTTAAAACGAACTAAAAGCAAACAGTCGTCATTGTGATTTGAAGAAACCTACAAACGATGTTTCGAATGATTATTTTCACAATACTATTCATTGCTCATATCTCAATCACAGTGTATGGTCAACAGCCGAAGGATGATTGTATGGCTGATGCCGGACCTATCGATGAATGCGTTCAATGGATCACTACAAGCTGTGACAACGCCACATTCATTACTGATCGACTCGCCTATATCGATGTTTGTCCAATGTTTACAATATTCTGGGAGAAACCACATTACAATCTGACGATTTTATTCGAAAGTCATTTACTAAAACCTTATAAACTCTGTGTGACACCTGTCGCTTGTACCAAAGCGTTTCGCACGACGGACGAAGGAGAGGAAGTTTTCATCGATTGGGACACAACGAGTCTTGAACCTGTCTGTTTCGAAACGAAGCGCTCCGATTTTCCAACGATGAAGTTTCGCTTCGATGCTCAACACCAGACACGTTGCATGCGAACATTCATCAATTTTCATTACGAAGGTTAAATTAATGTCATGTTGAATTTTTCTTTCGCAACTAGAGAGATTTTCAATGGTCTGAGAAATTTCAATAAATATCGGCAACAATAACAATTTCAAAAATAAGTTATTTGTATATTTTAATAATTTCATTTTTCAATTTTGCCGAGCCTCGGCGAATGGTGAATGAATAAGCATGAGTCATCGATGGATGCTTCAATATTGATTCAAAGCTTTCTATTTAGTTAGATGCATGAATGTGACCAAAGCTTATAAAGTGATATTTCATGGTATGGCACTTAGACGAAGAGATATCATAATCAATTAAAAAACACAAGGTCGAAGAGCCTCCAATTCATGTCGACTGTGAATTATATGGTACTCTTGTTGAAAGCAAAAACAAAAAGTCAATAAACTTCTTGATTATTTTTGAATTCACTTGTGGATTGCAGCTTTCAGAAAAGCATGAATGAATGTCAAAGTGACTCGAGAAAAATACTTAGATCTAGCCAAAAGTTCTGAGAACGCTATTGGTAATTTTACAAAGCAATTAATATTGAAAAGTTTTTTAAATGAATAAATAGTGGCATGTCTTGTGCATAAATATATAAAAAATTCTATTTTGAACTTAATTACAGTACTTTTTCATATAAAATTCAATTCGAACCAAAAACAAATTTGAAAAATGAATAATGAATTTGATCGATATATTAAAATTGGGACTCTTTTGGGGATGGATCCAAAGACAATTCATGTAGAACTTGCAACAGCTTTGGGACCCAATGCTCCATCATATACAACAAGTGCAAGGTGGGCAAAGTGTTTTCGTGAAGGAAGAGAAGATCTCAATGATGATCCTCCAGTATCCGAACTTACGGCTGAAAGTATTGAATTGGTACGACAAGTTATCAACAATGATCCACACTCAACTTATGATGATATTATAGCTGAGAGTTCTCTCTCTTGTGATACAATAGAACGAATTATCCACAACTGTCTCACGATGAAAAAAAGTTTCATCTCGTTGGGTACTCCATCAACTGAATGATGAACAAAAGCAAGAACGAGTTAGACTTTTTCGTGAAAATTTAGCGAAATTTCGTGATGGTTTCTGACGATTATGGGATATTATAACAGGTGATGAGACATGGATTTACTATGGGCAGATTCATCACAAGTCAACAAATGCAAGCTAGGTTGGCGAAGGTGAAGCACCAACTGCTATCGATCGTCGAAGTAAATTTCAATCAAAAAATTGATTTTGTATATTCTTTAAATCAAATGGCCCAGTTCTTATATAATATATATAATAAGTCCTATAGGATTATCTCCCGTCGGGGCCAATAGATGAAAGAATAATATCTTTTCAACCTTTTCTATTCTGAGCTAGATGGAAAAGATCTTGTATATTGCAGTTGCACCAATCTGTGATATCATCTAACCATTCTCTGAAAGGACGGCCAACTCGAGATTTTCCATTCATTCTAGAGAATACCACTTGCTTTATTAGCCTGCTATCATCCATTCTACTAATATGTCCAAATAATTGTAACTTTCTCTTTTCTATGATATCCACAATAGTAGCTTTTCGGGATACCATTTTTCTTACAGCCTCGTTTGATACCTTATCTGTCCATTTGATTTTTAATATTCGACGATAGCATTTCATCTCAAATGCTAGTAATTTCTTTTTATCACAAGTAACACTCGTCAGCATGACTCGGTTGACCCTCGACTGATGGATTAGCTGCAATCTAGTTTTATTGAGTGTGACTATGGGTATGAAAGTCTTCTTTACACTAATACTGACACCCACACTCGCATTCATATTCCACACCTACACACTTAACTCCAGCGATACCCACAACCATTCAACAAAAATTAAAAGGACTACATTATGCCACCGATATCTTTACGTGTCCGAAAAAAAAAACAGTCTATATTCAGCTTTCTCAGAGATAATGATTCAAAACACATTCACAACAATCTTATAAAAATGTGCCATAACCTTTCAAATTTCTACTAAAAATCCATTTCCTTACTAACACATTAGCTAACAGTATTGTTTAATAGAGCGTCTGCTAAAAACATACGGGTTTAGTTGAATTTTTAGCTTAAAATCAATCATATTCGGTCTGATTTGTAATCAAACTACCATATTTCAAAAGAAGCTCCTATTTAAAGTAGCTATTAGACGAGATAGGTAATTTGAACATATCCCTATATGTATCAATATTCGAATCAGTACATTTAAAGAAACATTCCAGCAGAAAACCCTGTTTATTTCATTCAAGTCTCATTTCGATGAGATGAATATAAAGTTTACAAGTGATTTTTTCTATGAAATGCACTACACATATATTGTGCATGTGAAGAAAAGGCGTTATTACAGTTGATTTCAAAGCATTTCTTAGTTCTTAGCAACCACTATTCCTTATTCAAATCCATTCGATCTAGACTATTGATGTTCATTGGATGAGTCTCAACAGTCTGAAGCCTTCCTTCAAGGAGGGTGTGGGTGTGTGGGTGGGGTGTAGGGTGTTGGTGTCAGTGTGGGTACGGGTAAGTAAAGAAAAACTGACACTCACATCCACACTCACACCCACACCCTCGCGGAGCTGTGGATGTCTTTTATGGGACAGGTATACTTATGAATCTGTCCTTATTTTACAACTATTACACCCGAAATAATAACATGATAGTTGCATTTCATTTTCTTTCAACTGATTACTTAGGATACACAATAATCAAAAATAAGAAGCCATTGGAAATATCTTTTATTAAGTCGATCGCTTAGCATGCTTAGATGTTTTCTTAAAAGAAAATTGTTCTTACATACTCAGTCCTCTTGTAGTAACAGGCATTGTTTTTTTATTATTCAAACAGCATAGGAGAATCAATGAAAACACAGTGAAGCATTTGTATTGCAAATATAATTGTATGACAGTTTCATTCCGTTTTCTTTCGAATGACTACTGAAGAAACAGACACAGTAAGCAAACATAAGAAGCCACTGGAAATATCTTTTTAGTTCTGATTACTTGGCATCTTTATCTCGTCTTGTAGAATAAATTTGTTATTAGACATTTTTACTTCTGAGAAACTGGAATATTGATTATTTCAAGTTACCTCTTTCATGGCTTGTGCTATACATATGAACGCATACTTGCTGCTTTATTTCGTATGCTTCCTTTCATAGCAGTATCAGTATGTTACCTAGAAACAATATAATCAAACATAACTGATTATATATGTGTAAGGTCTCAGGTGCAGATACGATGATGATGGAAGTTACTGTTGGTAATTTCGGGATGTTTATCGTTAAATTTGCTGTATTACGAGATTTTTGAGTAAGCAATGTTATATAGCTGACAGAATTTGTCTATCTAGCTCAACTATTCATAAAAATCTATTCAATATGTCCCATTAAATGAAAGTAGATGATCAGAGAAATTCTTCGATGATAAAATCTATTTTGCACAAGTCTGCATATGAAAACCAGTCTTGAATTGTTTCTCTTGTTCAGAAAATTATTTGAACGATATCTAAGCAATAATAATTACAAATCTGTATATGATATATTTGAGATCTTGGATTACATATTGCTCATCGTTCACAATTCGATCCGAAAAAACTGATAGAAAAACGCGAGCCTACTATGTTTTGAAAAGAATCGTGTTTTTTTCAAATAATAAATCTGAAATCAACGAGTTCTCAACACATTCTACAAAATTTCAACATCATTTTTTTCAGATGTGAAACTCGCAAAATTTTACACTCTAACACGTGTTTAAGTAAGCAAATCTTTTTAATTGACTAATATTTGTCTAAAGCATAAAAGAACGTTTGACATTACAACTAATTATCAACCTTTATAGATTGCTTCTACGATTTCATTTTGTAAAATTCGTATGAGCCGCATCCTAAATGTATTATTGCATCTGGATCTGAAATATTTTTAACATATGAATAGATATATACATATAGTTTTGGTTACAATACACATGATAGGAAGGTTTAAATAAAAATTGAAATCTAACATAGAAGGAAATTTTCGAGTGATTCTCAAGTAATGTTGCTGTCAGCAGCAGCATATTCTCATTATGATACACTTTTTGTTGACATTGTCTGAATGTATTGAATGCAAAAGAAAATTCATTGCTACGAAAAGTTTGTTGTTTATAGGAATTCGTACAAGCTTCTCCTGCCTCATTATAAAAAAAACTTAAGCTCGCAAGCTTTTTTTAAGTGATGTAAAAGCAACTACAAATCTCATTTTTATATTATTCATCTTTCGACATAGACGAAAGCATACGATGTGGAGACCAATTCGATGGGTAGTAGTGCGCAAAACTCCAGTAAGAAATTTCAATGACGTCGAACAACCGCCAGAGAGATACGAGCATGTGGAAGATGATCTCAATAAGTGAGATATTGTTTATCGTTTTTTTGATTGAGGAAACAAGAAACTGTTTAAGGTATTGTTGCTGCTGTGTAGTTGTAGCAGTAATCGGAGCTATAATTGGTTTGATAATTGCTGGAACAGCTCTTGGTATAGGAATTATATTACTTGTGAAAAACTCCGGTAAGATACTATTACTGAATGATAAATATATTAGAAGACTAGTGACTGAAGGAAGTGCAGTTTTTAGTGAATTTAGACGCGAAAAATATGCTTTTTCTTCGTAGGTACCAAGGAAAAAGATAAATATGAAAATGGGCTAGATCAGAACAAAGAATTAGAAATTAGAAAAAAGTTCAATACAGTTTTTAAGAATGCAAACACAAAAATAAATCAGAACTTATGTAACCGTCATGTCATTTTTTGGGTCTTTGAGAAAATTTTATCATCTTAGAAACTGATAATTTGTTTGTAGGATTATTTCTTTAATAGTCTATCTGTTATTATAATTGCAAACCATTCGTTAAATAGTATTACAGAGTTCTGATTTGTAATTGAATTTAGGTACATCAGTGGTATACTGTTGTCACACATGTCAAACTACAAATACTACCAACGGTAAGTAATAGACTTAATACTTGGATGCTGCTTTCTACTACAATTGAATAAAAAAAAATTGAATACTTTCAAATTTTGTTCAATTTCCTTAAGCACGAATGATTGAAATAAGTCTAAGTAATATCAAAAATAACTAGCAAATCGAAGAAACGTCATGTAATAAAATAAAGGATTCAGGTCTTGTACATTCGGAAGAAAATCAAGTGGTGGTAGTTTTTCTACTCGTTATCTCGATTTTGTTAATGACTAGGCTTTCCTCAAGTTCAAATAGCTATCTTTGTTTATAGAATACTAGCTTTTTCATAGAAATGTGCGTGAAATGGAAATAGCTTTAATAAAGATCGTATCCCTCCGTTAGAAAAAACAGCAGAACGCCAAAGCTAAGTGTGGGGTGTAGTAGATGTGGATGCGGATGCGGATCTGAGTGCGGGTGTGGGTGGGCATGGGCTATGCCTCTTTTCTGTATCCGCATTCACCCACTCACACGCTCACATCTCACCCTGTTCCATAAATAACATGGCGATAACAAACTTGAATATCTTCGCTAGATATTAACAAAATGAGCTGAAATTTTTATCACTCATAGAGACTTACTCAAAGTTTTTTTGTTCAAGAGAGACATGTCAACAAATACTTTTTCTATTTATTAAAATTAACATTAAGAATCTTATTATGAGCTCCAAATGTTCGAATTGGTTTAGTTGTGGATACGAATGTGGGCTTGTACATGAAACTAAGATCTGGACTCACAGCAGTAGTCAGTTACATATACGGTCGAAAGGAGGAGATGATACAATGACAGAACGAAAAAGATGCGCTCCTCGTGGGACTCGAACCCACACCTTCTGCTATCCGGGCAGATGTCCTAAGCCAGTTAGACTAGAAGAGACGATGTTATTTTCTTTTTCGTCTTAGATCATCATTCTATGCGCACGATCTAACATAGTCCCACACTGATGCAGACTTCAAAAATCCCGTTCAGTATCTATTTTTATCAAGGTGTTGAACAAGCACTATCTCTTCACCAG